CCCCCCTAGAGGTGACCCTGCGTACGCGCCTGATTCCGATGATAACAAGAGTACATGAAAACCAGAGTGTGCAGCTCGGATGGGTTGCTGTCACGGCGAAATTCCGTGATTACATCATTTTAGTGATGTAGTGCGTACAAGCAGGATTCAAGCAGGTCTCTTTCTGCACAACTGCAGCTCAGTTGTACGCACTACGCCATTTCCCGCCTCAGATCTGGGCCAAATATGATGTAATCACGGAATTTCGCCGTGACAGACACCCATAGCAGAAAAGACCCCAAGCTGCACACTCTGGTTTTCATGTACTCTTGATGATAATCATGCACTGTCTATCATCAGTGGTCACACAGAAACAGAACCGCCACTTCGAGCGGGTGCATGATCATGATGATGTTATAGTCCATGTGATAGGGACCAGACAAATGATCGGTCATGTACTATTATTTATTATAAAATAAAATAAACTTTATGTCTTTGCACCTCCTGCGTGTCTGGTATGGCCTATAGCAAGAGTAGATAAACAAGAGTGTGCAACTCCGGATCTCTCCTGCACAATCTGCAGATACCCCGCGCCCACGGCGGAATTTTTTGTTTACGTCACCTTTTTTCAGAGAAACGCGGCTTTGCCGCAGAGCAGTGTGAGAGCACGTGCTGGGCACCGACCTTGTACTTAAAGGGGAAGTATACCCTAAAATCAAATTTTCACCAGTTGTAGTCTTCTGGGTGCTGAGTCGAATGGTCTTGGTCCGAGGAAGCTGCGACGCTCCCTTCCTGCTTGAATCCCAATCGAACTCGCGCACTTCCACCGAAACTGGGTGACTGCGCCCTACTAGATGGGGATTTGTATGCAAAATGTCACTAAAAGCGCCATTTCCTTCTTATAAAAGCACGGATGACCGCGATTGGCCCATATGTTGTAGTCTTTTGGACGCTGAGTCGACTGGTTTTGGTCCGAAAAGGCTGCGATGCAGCGTTCCTCCTTTATTCCCAATCGAACATGGTTGAACAAGCGGTCACGTGCTCCTGCGTACACCAGTCAGCTGGTCACCGTGCCTGCAGGGTACAACTTACTAGCCTGTTTGACCTTTTTTGGGTGCAGTCCTGTCACTCGAGTTGAACTCGAGTTGAACCTTGGTGTGAAAGTTGTCGCCTGCTGGCGCGGTGACCAGGTGATTTGGGCACCCAGGAGCACGTGACCGCTTGTTCAACCATGTTCGATTGGGAATAAAGGAGGAACGCTGCATCGCAGCCTTTTCGGACCAAAACCAGTCGACTCAGCGTCCAAAAGACTACAACATATGGGCCAATCGCGGTCATCCGTGCTTTTATAAGAACGAAATGGCGCTTTTAGTGACATTTTGCATACAAATCCCCATCTAGTAGGGCGCAGTCACCCAGTTTCGGTGGAAGTGCACGAGTTCGATTGGGATTCAAGCAGGAAGGGAGCGTCGCAGCTTCCTCGGACCAAGACCATTCGACTCAGCACCCAGAAGACTACAACTGGTGAAAATTTGATTTTAGGGTATACTTCCCCTTTAAGGTGGCACTCTGCCTTCGTGGGCGTACGGCACGTTGACATCCGTAATTTTGGATTGGGTAGAGATAATTACTTCAAATTTTCTACACAAGTTCTCTATGGATATCTGGTCCATGTGCACACCCTTAGGCATGAACAGTGACAGTTAATTCTGAGCATAGCTTGAAAATTCAAAAATGCCCGTATACTTCACTCTTCACCAGAGTGCTGAAAAACTCATGTATAAGATGACCAAAATGTCTACTTGGCAGGCTAATAGAAACATAAATGAAGACATTGAACCAAAGATTAGCAAAATATGCAAATCTCCTACTCAGATAGCTTCGTTACAGCGAAAATACTGATTTCGCGTAAACATTCGTAAACATTCGTCAATATTTCAGAACACCAATACTGGTTATGTCACCTGCTAGGCAGGTAAGCTTTGGTTCAATGTCTAGCCTACACCATGCAGAAACAGAAAATATATACTTTTATGGGTGTACCAGCTACAGGAGAGGCCACAGCCTGGTTAAGAGCCAGCACAGTCATGGAAAAATGGTCAAAAAAGGGACTTCACATTGGGTCCGCAGCAACAAGATCCCGTGTCACAGCACATACCTAGACGCCACCAGCTTCGTATGAGACACCTTCTTGAGCTACTTCCTCTTCCTGGATACCTTTGCGAACTCTTCTTCGCCTCTTCCTCCTCCTCTTGACCTCTGCAGACCTCTTCCTTGCTGCATGCTTCTGTCTGTCAAGCTGGAGTTGACCCAGTGCTGACGCCGTGCAACTGCCAACGGGGAGTCCCATTTCCGTCAGCAACGCTGAGATGGACGCTGGGCCGTCATTGAACCATGCAGCAGCAAGGGCAATAGCCATTTGCACGATCCTGGCAGAACAGAAGCCGGTCTTGGGGCACATCTGCCACACCAAGCCATTGAAGCACTCGTTGCGGTTCTGTGTCGCCCCACGCAAGCATCCATACAGTGAAGCATGTCCACGGCGCATCCATGAGCCATCGTATGTCACGGCTGTCTCACAAGTGACGTCAGGGGGATTGCGAATCTCAGCAGCAGCGATGTCCATGCTCCTCTCCGCCACAGTGTCAGCAGACAAAGCCAAAGACGTGGTATGGCCATGGTAGGAAGACAGGGACATGGGCTTAGGCATGTTGAGGGCCGCACTAAATTTCACCATGGCTTGATGGCCCCTTCCAATCAAGCGCATGCCCAAAACAAATCTTCTGTTGACCTCCAAAACACGATTGAACTTTTTGGACATGGTCTCCGTCTCCTCTGCGTCACATCTGTCACAGACAACACTCAAAGTGGAAGCCAGGCCTTCTCTCTTGGTCTCCTTGAGGGTGACATTGCTATGACAGGCATTACAAGAGACACCAGTTTTTGCAGCAGGCTCTGAAGACACTCCAAGTCGATCAGCCGATATCCGGTGGTCGCTGCTTCATCATCCTGGCTCTCAGTGTCGGATCCTGGCTCAGATTCGCTGCTCTCTTAGGCGGACTCGCTGTCGTCTGTGCTGTGATGGTCTGACTCGGAATTTGAACTGTCTGACGAATTTTCAAATAAATCTGGGAATACATTCTCTATGGGATTGTCGGCTGCCAACTCAGGCGCAGGATGAGGGCATTTCTCTGGCTCAGGCTCGCGGGGCTTCCTGCCATGAAATATCCGTTTCTTTGGACGTCCAGGACGGCCACTACACTGTTTCCTTCCCATCGCAACACCACAAATAACCTCAACATCGAACAAATCAGAACGAAATATTTCGATTTGAATTTTGTCAGATGCGCGTATACTATGGATGTACTGCTGCATGAGTGGTCCGTGCCATGCGCAGATATCTCCAAACTAACCAGAAACCCCATGGGACAAATCCTGTGAAATTTGAGAACGGTACTCTAAACCTGGACGAAGTTATGAATATTATACGTTTTTGATGAAATACTGCAATTTATATTTGAATTTGCAATTGAGTTTCGTTGTGCACTACCTCTTTGAGCGCCTATATCTCTGGAGTGCGTGCATGGAATTCGCTCAAATTTTCTCAGCTGTCGGCTGGGTCCTATGCCAAACGTTTGAGACCATAATCGACACCTATTTCAAAAATTCATTTTTTGACCCTCTGAAGGCAGAGTGCCACCTTAAAGGGGAAGTATACCCTAAAATCAAATTTTCACCAGTTGTAGTCTTCTGGGTGCTGAGTCGAATGGTCTTGGTCCGAGGAAGCTGCGACGCTCCCTTCCTACTTGAATCCCAATCGAACTCGCGCACTTCCACCGAAACTGGGTGACTGCGCCCTACTAGATGGGGATTTGTATGCAAAATGTCACTAAAAGCGCCATTTCGTTCTTATAAAAGCACGGATGACCGCGATTGGCCCATATGTTGTAGTCTTTTGGACGCTGAGTCGACTGGTTTTGGTCCGAAAAGGCTGCGATGCAGCGTTCCTCCTTTATTCCCAATCGAACATGGTTGAACAAGCGGTCACGTGCTCCTGGGTGCCCAAATCACCTGGTCACCGCGCCAGCAGGTGACAACTTTCACACCAAGGTTCAACTCGAGTTCAACTCGAGTGACAGGACTGCACCCAAAAAAGGTCAAACAGGCTAGTAAGTTGTACCCTGCAGGCACGGTGACCAGGTGACTGGCGTACGCAGGAGCACGTGACCGCTTGTTCAACCATGTTCGATTGGGAATAAAGGAGGAACGCTGCATCACAGCCTTTTCGGACCAAAACCAGTCGACTCAGCGTCCAAAAGACTACAACATATGGGCCAATCGCGGTCATCCGTGCTTTTATAAGAACGAAATGGCGCTTTTAGTGACATTTTGCATACAAATCCCCATCTAGTAGGGCGCAGTCACCCAGTTTCGGTGGAAGTGCGCGAGTTCGATTGGGATTCAAGTAGGAAGGGAGCGTCGCAGCTTCCTCGGACCAAGACCATTCGACTCAGCACCCAGAAGACTACAACTGGTGAAAATTTGATTTTAGGGTATACTTCCCCTTTAACTAGTACTTGTAGTGTAAAGCCCAGCCAAGTGCACGAGAGAAAACTCTCCAAAAGGCTCGCAGCGCGTGCGTCGTCGAAAAGATTACGTCAACAAAAAATTCCGCCGTGGGCCAACCCATCCGCGAGTTGCACACTCTTGTTTATCTACTCTTGCCTATAGCCTATGGGGCTTACTACTAGGATACTGTTGATTTGCGGCATTCCGACGATTCTCCTCTCCTCCGCTGATACGACTCTTACGAGTGGAACACGCCGGTAGGCCGCCCACGATGCAAAACAAGAACTGCTCCACCCCAAGCCAAGGTTGACATGTCGACAGCTCGCTGATACATTCTCCATGTCACAGACCTGCCCCTCCTGTCTCAGATACATTGCTGGGATGGCGGGCGTTCCAGATTCAGGGTGGTCGACCAGTCTTTCTGGGATCGAGTCTAACGACTCCTTTCTGCCCACTTCTCAGTCGCTGGCGCTTGGATCTCGTTCAAGAGCACGGAGAAATAATCAGTGTGCAATGAGAAAGAAAGACTTCTAAAGTTCTACGCATAATTATAATAGTATCGTCTTTGATCTAGTCTAGTACATGACTGTACTGTGGAGATCCACGTGTGAAATCGACCAATTCTTTTACTCGTAGGACCCACCGCATATGCACATAGCATAGCATTGCGGCAGTAAGAAGACTCTACCTACCGTCCGACCGTCCTTCAAAAATGCGTGATCCGCGCCAACGGCTGCGCGATTTCGCCGACAGGGTGTTCGTGGGGTATGCAAACCTGGTGGTGCGGAGACCGGCAGTGATCGGCCTCTGCGGACTACTTCTGGCGGTAGCATTCTCCTTGGGACTTCTTATTGTTGATGTGGAGAAGCGAGACTTGAATGCTTTGTGGATCGACCTGGACTCGCGTGTTGTTGACGAGCGGAAAGTTTTCGAGGATGAGTTTGGTGGACTTACGAGAAAGACAACGTGTGCTGTGTCCGTGGCAACATTGGGCGACAGTCTGTTTCCTGGTAGTAATGAAACCAGCGCTACCACGGCCCGCACGACGCCCAGTGGAAATGCATTGGATGCCCTTCAGGGCTGTATGAAGGTATGGCAAGATACCGAAGTGACCATGGACAACAAGATCTTTGTGTTGCACGACGTATGTGAGAGGCCACAGGTTCCTGTCCTCTTTCAGCCCGGGCAAAGCTCGGCTCAGCTATATTCCAGTTATACGCGGTGCCTTCAAGCGAACCCCATCTTCCAGCTTCTCTATCAAGGCGTTCTTCTTCAATACCCTTGGTTTAATCCGTCCTTCTCTGCCTTAAAAAGTGCCTGGGGCTTGACTGAACTTCCATGCTCCAGAGCAAGCGTTCTAGATTGCTTCCGAGAGGGACAGAATATCGATTGGCCTGAAGGCCTACGTGAACTGGACAGTGTGTCTGCTGCCGCCGCTGCATCACTGACTACTACTTATGGTGCATTGGCTGAGGAAGTGGGTGCGCAACCCATTCAAAGTCTGACGGTGTCTGCATACTTAACCAATAGCAGCCTGTTCCCGTGTTGGCTGCTAAGGAGTGACGGTAACATCACATGCCTTGGCGAAATGGGTCATTTTGTGTTGGAGCAAGGGGCTCTTATCCGCTCCCTCTACACAGTAGAGCCTTTTTTCTCAGCCATTGGTGCAAGCAGTACAACTCTCATCAGCGCAACTATACAGCAGTTCATTAGTCAGGTTGGCATGGCTACAAACACTCAGGAGCTGCAGACCATTGCTAAGAATGCCCATCAGACCTTCTTTACCCTCCTGGGGATGGCAGCACAGCAGGACAGGGAGGCAGCGTCGCTAGTGGCTTACATGGACCTCCTTACCAAAATCAATGACCTACCGACAAGAACGAATGAGCCGATAGGGTCTGAATGTGTACGAGATACTTCCATGGCATACTATACCGATCGAGGCCAAACACCAAGTACACAGGAAATGGGCCAGGCAGTGGGCCAGTTGCGGACGGCCATCCTGTTTCTAGGGTCATTGGGATATTGGTGGCGCCCATCATACCAGGCAATGAGCAACAGTGACATCCTGGAGCACATCAACATGGCAACCCACTCCCAAATCAATCCAGCCGTGCGAAACGACCCAACAGCTTGTCTCTCCGGAGAAGCTCGTTGCTGCCAGCAATGGAGCAGTGCAACCATCGCTACCAGCTTGATGCTGTCAGGACAGGAGGCCAGTAAGGGAATGCCAGTGGCAGGCACAGGATTCTCCAGCAAGGTCTACAAGACCATCACAACGATTCGACTGGGTGCAGAAAACTACAATGAGAACAATCCATTCTGGATCGACCAAATGAAGGCTGCTTTTCCCACCATCGACTGGACAAAGGCAAAGAGAGAAGAACTAATGGAAAAATTGGATGAGAAGATGAATGCTGGCTGGCTGAAGATGTACAAGAGAGAAGTCGGATCTAACTATTCCAGTGGTGAGGCGTACAGTTCATTTCGCCTGGACTTCAGCACGGGCAGCTCTCTAACTGATATCCTTAAAGAAGCTTCAGAACTAGAAGGCAACCTGATTGGCTTGAGCTACGGTGTGATGGCAGCACTTGTTGTTCTTTCGTTGGGCAACTATTTAGAAGCTCTGGTCAATATCCGACAGAAAGATTGTGCGCAGCGTTACATGGTGGATTCTCACGGCATTCTCGGTCTCTGCGGCGTTCTGGTTGTGGCCCTTAGCAGTGTTGCAGGACTCGGCTTCTCGAGCTACGTGCAAATTACGTTCAACCCACTGACCACCAGCCTGGTTCCGTTTGTAGCACTTGGTCTCGGCGTTGACGACATGTTTGTGTTTGCGCACGCTGTGACGGTGCTGAATGATCGATCGCGCAGCATTGGCGATAACATGTGTGCCGTGATGCGTTTGGCGGGGCCGTCGGTATGCCTGACATCGGTCGCAAATGCCGTTGCCTTCATTCTGATCTATTACGTGCCCGTGGCGGCTGTACGTCAACTCGTTTTAGTGCTGATGATCTCGGTGCTGGCCAACCTCGTGTTCCTGTTCTTGCTCTTTGTACCGATCATGGTATTTGACTTGAAGCGTAACCATGCTGGCCGAATGGATCTCATCTTTGTTAAAGCGTCAGCCAAGCTGAACGACAGCGAGCGCTCAGACGAGGAGAAGAACACGCTAGTTGGAAAGTTCATTGACAAAGTGTACGCCCCAGTGCTGAGCAAGGCGCCAGTGAAAGTCGCCGTGCTGCTCTTGTTCTCAGGATTCTTTTGCTGGACACTGTACAATGCTATCGAGAACACAAAGCAGGGTCTGCGTGTCAGCGACATAGCTCTAAAGGATTCCTACCAGCGAGACATGGCGAGGTTGACGGAGAACGAGATCACAACCCAGTCATGTTACCTAATGGCCGTGACAAAGAACTACAGCTTCAGCAATGCGGTCGGTCAGCAAAGGGTTATGGACGCTCTCAACACCCTGGATGAGAACACCTGGAGGATCCGGGGAATGCGGCTCAATGACGCTAACTTTTTGACCAACGGCAGTTCATCACTCCTGGGTTTTTACTCCGGCATCCAGCAATCGGGAGCACTAAACCCATGCCCAGCTGCTAATGTTTCTACGCCCATTGCCGTACCACAGTGCTACGACACATTCTTCAAGCAGTGGTACGCATCCGTCGGTCCGTTCTACGCGCCGTTTTTGGTGTGCCACGATGCCAACGGCATGCGTGTTGGCTGTAACCATGCCGACGCCAGTGTTCACGCCGTGCGTACACCTTTCAACCTGGATAGACTGTACACACACGACGACCATATCAGTGCAATTGAGGCCACGCGAGCACGCGTCGACCCACTGAATGATGACAAGATGCAGCTATTCTCTATCGGCTATATCTTCTATTTCTGGGAGCAATACTTTGGAATTGTCAACACGTTGATTGCAGTAAGTTATTGCAGTGGGTTACTTTTTGTTCAATTTAAGAACGCTCCAGTGCTCTTCACGTTAGCCTTAGGTGGATGTTTGTTGAACGCTTTCTTGGCACTGATGATGTGGGTACGACTGCATGGCCACACAGAAAGACACGTTATACTATAGAAAGTAGTACCAGAAGTATCTTTGAAGAGCTTCTTCACCTCGGGGGGGGGGGGGGGGGGGGGGCAGCTACATTGATAACGAATGCCTGTTGCACCTTTTTTTTCTTTTTTCCAATCACTCCTAAATCCAGCCTCTGTGCATATGTTTAAGGTTGAACTCATTGTTCGTGTTTACCGCTTCTCTCTCTCTCTCTCTCTCTCTCTCTCTCTCTCTCTCTCTCTCTCTCTCTCTCTCTCTCTCTCTCTCTCTCTCTCTCTCTCTCTCTCTCTCACTCACTCTCTCACTCTCTCTTGTTTTAAAAATAATAATTTCTTCACAATATACGAAAGGCACAACTTCAAGGCTGTTAGAGATTGTGATACCAGGATATGGCTCATCATCATCATTCTGTATTGTCTGTCTGTGTATCTGGTCTATTCACCTGCCGCAGGCTATTGGCTTTGGACTTCTCGGCGTCTTCTTCGTCACATTCATCTTCCAGCTCAACCCATGGCTGTCGGCCATTGTATGCCTGATCATTCTGATGATCGATATTGAGCTGATCGGATTGATGGATCCAATCGGCGTCAAGCTCAATGCCATCTCCATAGCTAATCTAGTTGTGTCTATCGGCATGGCCGTGGAGTTCACCGCCCACTACGCCCGCGCATTCCTCCTGGCACAGGGCAACCGCAATGAGCGCATGAAGACTGCGCTGCACGAGATGCTGAAGCCGATGTTCAACGGCGCTCTCAGCACCATCATTGCACTCTCGGTGCTGTCTATGGCCCGCTTTCCGTTCTTCCGCATCTATTACGCCATCACGTATGTGCTGATGGTTATCATCGCATTTGCCAACGGCCTCGTACTACTTCCTGTGCTGCTGAGTGTAATTGGTCCCGGATCTCAAGCTGCTCCAGCCGGTCATGACTACGACAAGCAGACCGACGAGGAGATGCATGCCCTGGACTCTGGCAAACAGGAGAGTAAGGCGGATCTCGCAGCTGCTGCCGCTCGTGATGCTTCCGCAGAGGAGCAGATGATGTACTGATTCATGCTGGGCGTACATTATACCTATCTATGTACAATATACTGTCCCCACAGGATACCGCGATTCCGCGGACGTGCAATTTTCCGCGTTATTGCCTGTCATCCGCGTTTTCGAGAGATTTTGCATAAAACCCGCGTTATTCATGGGAACGTACAAGAAAATAGCACATGATGTTGAAAATGTACTACAAAGTCGTACCGGTGCATGAGTTTGTACGACAAAGTTGCATACTTGCATGAAACTGCATGCTTAAGTTGTACAAATGACAGAGAACTCGTGCATAATGACCGCATTATACTGCATATTTGCCGCATAATGGCCCGTTTTCGCCCGCGTAATTATGCGCATAATTTTAGGATTTCGTCCGCGAAATTCTGTGGGGACAGAATATAGTACACGCTGCTCACATCTCCTCATCTAGCATTGCTTTTCTGATACTTTTACATTGTACAATTACTACTTCCGTTTGGTTTTCTCCAATGTTTTCATAATAATACGATGGGTGGTGCAGTACATGTACATTTCATTCGATTCTTGGACACATTTGACTGCCTATTATGAAATTTAGTCTTTGTGTTTCTACTACTTTCTCCACATCTGAGTGATTTTAACTTTTCACTAGCCGGTTAGGGGCTGCTTCACTTTTATCTTTCCCGTCCTCACCGACAAGCATACCGAATGCAGAGATGCACTTCAGTACATGTATTGACTGCCTATTATGAAATTTAGTCCTTGTGTTTCTACTACTTTCTCCACATCTGAGTGATTTTAACTTTTCACTAGCCGGTTAGGGGCTGCTTCACTTTTATCATTCCCGTCCTCACCGACAAGCATACCGAATGCAGAGATGCACTTCAGTACATGTACTTGCGAGTAGTACTGCACACTGTCACATGTGCTCAAAGTAAGAAAGCTATGCACGAGTATGATGCCAATTGTGGTGCTGAGCACTGTGTGGACAGAGGAAGATTTCCACTGCATATGCAAAGTAGATTGATCTTACATCTTTGCCATTTTTCTGCTCAGATGGGGTGTACATCATTAGATTGTTTTGGCTGAGAGAGGGGGGGGGGGGGGGCAGAGAGAGAGAGAGAGAGAGAGAGAGAGAGAGAGAGAGAGAGAGAGAGAGAGAGAGAGAGAGAGAGAGAGAGAGAGAGAGAGAATCTGGTTTGCGTCCAAGTTATCTGCCTTGGTGCAATCGGTTCGGCCAGTGACCCGGAGCTCCACTAATGAAACCGTAGCATGTCGAAACAGCTACAGCTGCCGTCCGGAGATCGAACACACATGAATCATCATGTGTACAGTTCAGCACGTGATTCCCTTGTAACCGGTTTCGACCAACAAACAAAAAGCAGGCTGGAACAGCAAGCAAAGCAATCGCAGATGTACGGTAATCACAACTTCTCGAAGAATTTTCAATTGCATTCCACGTGAATTTCATTTTATGCGATTGATTTTCCAGAGGCAATTAGATGTCCACCAACGGACGGTAACACAGTCCTATCACGTGTATGGATAGCAACACAGTCACACCACTGGCCAAGGGATGGTACACTGCACTGTGAAGTAGATACGCAATTGTTTTTATGGACATTGGCGGCGCATTCGTCCGCTATCCTAACTTCACTTGTCCAAGCACAGCCAAAGCACAGAAGTCCGAGTAAGCTAAGCGCTGCCATCTCCATGGCAGTCTGATGTAGCCCAACACGCGCGGACATGGTATGGGGGAGCCGTATGCGGGGCTGGGAAAAGAGTGGCCGCCATTCCACGGTGGTCTGTGAAAGTGAGAGTTTCAACCAACACAGCTGTACCACTCGCCCACCATTGTCACTCATGTTCGCACTTCGGGATCCTTGGATATCTACAGTACTGTCTGATGCCAAAGACCGAGGGGTTCAGAATCGTAGCCTAGGCCGGTCTTATTTTTCATGTTCATAGGGTATCCTGTAGCTGGTAAAATTCTAGCCCGTTCGTTCTTCGGTGCCCGACAGTACTGCAGTACCAACATGTAGTACCCAGCACTTTACTTTAGTCACATTATTAATGCTCAATCCCCACAAAACACACATGCACACACACACACACACGCACGCACACACACGCACACACACACACGCACACACACACACACACACACACACACACATTAGCGGCATAGAGATAACGTGATGTAAAAATTAACGCCGTTCACGCAATCCCAGCCCAGCCAGAGGAGGGAGAGAAAGACACAAGGCAGAGCTAAGTCATGGCCATGCATTATATTCCACTGTGTCCAGCAGCAGACACTAAGACCATTTAGACAGTGCACGTGGTGCGGTCAAGAGTTTGTAAATACAAGGGGAAGGGGCAGGTCACTTATGGCTGGCTGTTGCTAAATCGTGATGGCAATAAAATACCAAAACGGTTGATCAGAGCGGTAAGCTAGCCAGCGCAGAGGGTAATTCAATAACACTAACAAGGATACTCCTACCTAGGTGTCGTTTTCTGCTTCGGGGCGCGTCAGAGTATCCATCAGGATCTCCTTGAGCAGGTCGAGCTTGGCGGAGTTGTCCTTGAGCAGGTTCCACTGATGGAGCGGCACCAGTCCTGGATACCAGCCGGACGAGCGCAGGATGCGGCACATCATCTTCGTTTGGCCGCTCGGTGTCTTCTCGGGATGCACCACACTGGGTGAAATCAACGCCACGGCGCGCGCATTCAGCTTCTCCTTGAGCATCTTGGCCTGCGGCAACATGGCTCCGTCGACAACACCGACTTTGGACCAGGGAATCGGCGAGCCATCGGAGTCGTCAAACAGCATGACGGCCGGCAGTGAAATACTCTCCACCGTTATGCCACCGCTGATCACGCAAGGCTCGCCGAGGATTTCGATCAGAGTGGAGACGAACTCCGGCTTGGACTCGTACTGCATCTGCTTGGCGCTGATGGAGGCAAACAGCTGCTTGAGTACGTCACTCTGCGCGGGGACCTTGAATATGCCATCGTAGACGGCAATGATGAAAAGGTCGCGCAGCATCTGCAGATAGGACAGCTCCTCGTCGCCGGTCGGTGCAGTGTCGATGGAGAAGACGCGACGCTGCAGAGTGGTGCGCGGCACGACGCCCTGGGCAACGCACGCCCATGCCAAGCGCACCAGGTGCTGCTGGGAAGGTACCTGGATGAGACTGTTCTCTAGCTGCTTGTGCAGCTCCACGAAAAAGTCGACGGCCGGGAAATCGACCCGCGACAGGCACGACGCGATGGAGCTGACTGTGTCGATATCAACACCGCCTGAGGTCAGCATCTTGTAGCCACGCTCCGTGATGGCAGTGCAGAGCAGCGGGTGTTTGACAGCCAGCATATTCATGGCCATGCACGTCATGCTCAGGATGCGCGGCTGCATGTGAGGTACATGCGACGCAATCTGCGGTGCTATCTTCCACATCAGCTTGATCGCCATGCCTGGATTGTCCCTGCGAATGATGCGCGCAGCGGCGTGGATCAAGCGGACGGCGTCATCAACTTTCATGTCATCGCACGTCTCCAGCGCGCGGGTCAGAATGGTCTCGACGAGGCGACTGGACAGTACCTCCACCTTTCTCATCTCCAACAATAGGGAGACGAGCTGCGACGCGTGCAGCTGCGGTATATGCTCGGAAAGCACGGCCGCAACTTCCTCCAACGGTGACGTGGACGTGTTGTAAGAGACAAGCTGCAGATGAGATAGGCAAGCGACTACCAGCATCAGTTCCTTGGGCTCGAACGTCTTGCGAGAGATGATGCCCGAGCGGATAGCTGTCAGCACGTCGTCGTTGTCCAGATGCACGTAATGGCAAAGGTAGTTTGACAGCAAGCAGAACGTACGAGACGTGCAGGCGGCCTCCTTCTTCGGATCGGTCAGCGAACTCATCAGCACCGGCACGCAGTGCCGCACGCGAAACGAGTTGATACGGAACAAGCTGACTGCGGCGCCCAGCATGGAGTCCGTCAATTTCTCTGCTTCCGTCAGCATGCGCAGATCCAGGTTAGTCAACAGCAGATGATGATCCGACAACAGGCGAGCGTACGAAAACGAAGAACAGCAGCTCAGTAGATCGTTCAGTGACAACTCATCTGCATTCTCCTGGATATGAGACAAAATGGCAGAACTGAAGCGACGGTCCAAGAGGCGTTTGCGAGACAACATCTCAATAACAGACGAGACCATCTTCAGCGGAATAGACTCCACATCGTTCAGCAGCTTGCTTGTGAAGACACCCAACAAACGTCCATAGTCAACATTGCCAACGTAGGACAACGAGATCAGAATCAGCGCGGCATCAACCGTTTCTAGCTGCTCGACTTCCTTTGTGAGCCTTGCTATACATCCATTCAGTAGTGGTAGTGCGGTCGGTGCAGCATTGCGACGCGGATGATTCCTCACCAGCGTTTTGACGTCACCAATACTCAAATCTGGCAACAGCTTTCGATCGTGTACGAACTGGGCGAATGAAGGATAATACCTGTTGGGCAAGGCATATAGAATATCTAGTACCTCGGATGGTTGTCTCTGTTGCTTGCCTTCCCAGTTTCGCAAACCCGCATAAAATGCTGTCCTTGCGGCATGGATATCCGCAGCCTGGGGTTCGCCAGTGGCTGGGAATATTTCCATTAGAATGGATTTACCAGCATCGAATCTAGTACCAGTTGAGACATCATGGCGTGTGCTCTCTCTACCATCGCTTGTTGTCTCAGAACACAGGCATCGCTGCAGGCTCTGCCGCTGGCTTAGCAGAGCACGGCTAGGCAGCAGAGCCTTGCTTGCTCCTCTCAGGAACATGCTCGACACTTGATCAATGCAAGGAAAACATAATTTCAAAACAGAGGTACAGATACTGAGTCAATTACAAGACTCAAGAGATTACAACGGGAACAACGCGCGCTGCTCCGATTTTTTTACATGAAAAATTCGAAATGTTTTGCTTCCCAAATAAAAATACAGTCATGTATATGCGCATGTGATGTGGTGGTACGACTACGAGCATTTTTTGCATTTTGTATTTGTAGTAAGAGTACGATGAAAACCAGGTACATGTAGTCGTATAATTATGATATACCACCCTGATGAAAACCTACTCTTGATTGTACTTGACCAGGGAGCTGGAACCCTGGTCCCTGGTCATGAAGTAGTGTCTTGTATAAAAGCCTGTCTTGTATACTAGTAGAAGCCTGTTTTGAATACAAGCCTGATTTGTAAGATTCACTGTCAGCACATAAGCCTGGTTTACTGTTGACATTGTCATACATAGAGATACATGGTTTGAATAGAAGCCTGATTTGAATGGAAGCCTAGTACTGATATCGGCGTATACGGCCGTAAGCACCTGCTGTTATACGCGACATTACGGTATATATACAAGCTAGCCTAGGGTATTTTTTACACAGCACCAAGATTGCCTCACCTTATAATACTACTGTATTATAGAGAGAGAGAGAGAGAGAGAGAGAGAGAGAGAGAGAGAGAGAGAGAGAGAGAGAGAGAGAGAGAGAGAGAGAGAGAGAGAGAGAGAGAGAGAGAGAGAGAGAGAGAGAGAGAGAGAGAGAGAGAGAGAGAGAGAGAGAGAGAGAGAGAGAGAGAGAGGAAGAGAGAGAGAGAGAGAGAGAGGAGAAGCTGTGTTGCAACTCCGAGTTTCGCTTAGCCACGATCATTAGGCAACTGAAGATATACCCTTGACTAGCTTGGTCGTGGGCATTTGAAGAACTTGTGGCCATTGTGGTTCCCGGGGTCCGAACTCTGCACACTACAGTACGTCACTAACATGATTCAAACGCTAGTACTACTTAGGCTTTCTTCCACGGTTCGAAGCGTGTTTGCATACCTGATGTACACACGCTTGGTTCTACAGTGTAATCAGAATTCACCCAAAGAGTCGCAACTCTACGCGCATACAGTCAATAACATTGTTACATGCGCATGAGATTTGAATTAAAAAAAAGTCCCAATCGTGTGCAGAAACACTACAGTTTGAATACGGTACTCGTACAGTGTGTCTGCCAGTCCATAACGTAGACAGATGCCAGAAGTCTAACCAAACTTACACACAACAGCAGAAACCTCCAGTGAAATGTTTCACAAAGCTTCAAGAGCCACACTCAGTTTCAAGCATGATACTGGCAAGAGCCAACACACACGTATGGACTCTTGATACTGGATGTGCAGCAGGATACACACCTCTGTACTGACTGTAGTCTGCCAGAATGCCTACGGCGACTTGTCACACACTGCTTTCGAACAGAGCACACAGCCAAGGCCACTATTCGCCAGGATACTGGGTGTGTACAGCTTGATACGCAGCTCTCAACAGTCTTCCATGCTGTAAAAGAGAACGTCTACGGTGGCTTGTTACACGCAGCGCTGGCACATAATGCATTATACACTCCGTTATACGGGAATATATCCGTGCCCAGCGCGCTGACTGTGCTCAGAACATCGAGAAACTGGACACTGGCGTTGAGATGGCTGGCTCCGAGGCATAGTTCACACACACACGTACACCTGACATGCACCTTTGCACTGGTCTGGACTGCTCCTGGTTCGCATATCGGTAGACACAATCTGGGTCTCAGCACTACACAATCAGAGCCTCGGCACCCATGGGGCAACACGGGAACCTGGTACAATCTCAAGCTCACCAGCATTGCATGAAGTACTGGTACTGGCCATCCCGTATCTTCCTCATCCTAACAGACAAGGATAACTATACTCTTGTCGGCACTGCAATCGAGTGATCAGCTACACTGCACGGGCAACCATAAATTTACGGAACTCGCACTTCATTGGCCGTTTCTAGTCAGAGAATTCTGCTGGTAGGCTGCGTGCCTTGAATTCAGTACTGTGGCAAAAAAGTTTAAAAAACTCAATCTCCATCTGAAAGGACTCGAATATACTCTACTGTGCTCGGGTCAATCATGGTGGGCAAAGCTGCTGCTGGCGCCCGTGACTGTCTCAAGCAGGGAATAGTACAGTATAGGTATTGTACTACATTGTACTCCCTGGTCTCAAGTCTTCTTTCCATCCAGCCTGGACAGTTCAGTCTGGATCTCAGTAGGGAACCTGGCTTGGTGCTGGCGAACACACTGCAGACAGAATCTGCGAGTGTAGAAGAGGCTGCACGCCGGTGCCATGCACACAGGGGTACTGCAGATGCAACACATGCCGCCCATTAGCAGAAAAGCGTGACGATCGTAACTGAACGGATCTCGACTGACGAAAGCATCCTCTTTGAGCTTGATTTCCTTGCAAAATGTTGGTTCTGACCCAAAATACTGGTAGGTGAACGAGCGCTGGCAGCGTTCACATTCAAAGCGATTTGATTCTGGTTGGGAACTCGGATCACCGACTGCAACGGGTTGATGACCAGCAGCGGACTGCATTACTAACACAGTATCAGTAGACCAAGTTCACAAATGTCATGAGCTCTTTGCCTTTGCATTTGGGCCAAATCTTTTGCCAGTTTTGGTTGCCTTCGTGTTTGAAGTAACAGTTTGAAAGACAAGTACGTTAAGTGCAGCTCAACCTTTTGTAATTTTTTTCGCTTGCTTGCGTTGCTCCTGCTCACGTGCCACGTGCATAAACGTTTAAACGCACGTGAAGGATTTGAATGATAGTACTGCCTACTGGTTTCGCATATCTTGCGCCCACTCAAACCTCACTCAGTGGCACTGCACTTGCTCAGGATGCAGACTAGACGTAGAAAAAGAAGTGAGTCACGCATGATGTCAGAACTGTAGAAGGCGCCGGCTAGCTGCCGGGATATGTTTCCCAAACCAATAACATTTTCTTTGATTCTTCTCAATGGTTGTGGTGCGATATCGAGAGATGAGGATTCCGCTTCAGAGAGCGAGGGATGCGCGTCCAATTTAGTTTCTCTACGTACGTGTCATGCTCACCAGGTCTCTGAATGTGGATTCGCTCAAGGATCGCTGTGGGCATCTCGTCTGCCACATCGACGAGGTGAGAATTAGAGAACCACAATATCCTATTGACGAATAAAATCACCGTACTTTTATCTGCTTATGAGCAAGTACATGATATGCCTGAGTTCTGAGAGGAAGATAGAAGAAGTAGTTGAGAACTACATGTAGTTCTCTCCAGCTTTACAATACTTGTTAATGCTGCTACAGTACAAGCTTTGGTCTGGGCTAAATCGATGCCCCGAGTATCCCTGTTTTTTTTCTCGACGAATTCATACATGAAGTGGAACATCGTGCAGGTCGTGTGCAGTTGAAGTCAATAATGTGCAGTGCGTTGTGTCTGCCTAACACAGCGCAGCACCGGCGGTGGTATGGTCTTTTGGCGACAGTTGCCCATAACCATAGTAAACGGTGGAGAGCAGACCTGCTCTTTTCCTCAGCACTGGTACAGGCCAAGTAATGGGACATGGAGATGGCAATGTATCTTTTGGGAGTGTTTGTAACTAGACCAAAGTCGAGTAGTAACATTGCGGTGCTGAGGGAAAGAGCATGTCTGTTGCATGTTACCACATCTTCCTAATATAAAGCTACACTACTACATGTACTGTCACTAGACTGTACTACTAGTACATGCCACTTCTGTAGACATTTGTAGAATTTTCTCTTGAAGGTCCCAGGTGGTGGTACAGTCAGACCTCGCATAACCGCACACATCCGTTTTCCACAAAATATCCGGAGGGCGAGGGAACCGGATAATCGAACACGCATGCTGTATGTATGCATGGCATATGCTGTAAATCGGTAGCCAACTATTTTCTTCCGGATAGTGAGGGATCCGGATAAAAGAGGACCGGATAAGCGAGGCCTGACTGTAGTAACTATTTCTTCAGTGCACAATCCAGCACATCGAGTCAGAACTTCCACGTTGTTGTACATCGTACTGCACTTGACAGCCTTGATCTAATTCCCGCCCCCTGACGAAAACCCAGCTGGGAAGCGACATGGCGTGTGTGTGTGTGTGTGGGGGGGGGGGGGGGGGGGATCAACGGTACCTTACGGTATTTGTTGACTTAGGGCGCGTTTGGTTGGTACAACCTAGAACAGGATTCACCAGAACAGTGCGTTTGGTTGGGGCTGCACCTGTTCTGGGTCGGCCAGGACATGTTCTGCTTGCTCCGGCCTCGAGGCCGGATATCCCGGATCCGCGGAGCAGACCGAGCAGTTTCACTTTTTCACAGTGAAACCTGGCGGGAACATCGGTTTTGGTCCCGAATGATCACATGCACGCTTTTTGGGTTGGACTCGTTGCACCGTACAAAGTGACCATGGTGACCTGTACACATTTTGAAGAATGCACCAAGTTTGGCACACTTTCACAAAAGTGTGCTCTGTTTAAGGAGTACCGTTTGGTTGGCATGAGGCTGCTCCATGTGCACCAGCTGTTCGATCCTGTTCTAGATTGTACCAACCAAACACACCCTTACAGTACACTTGAATGTGTGATACGCATGACTGTGGATGCTCCATGTGCACCAGCTGTTCGATCCTGTTCTAGATTGTACCAACCAAACACACCCTTACAGTACACATAAATGTGTGATACGCATGACTGTGGATGCTAACGACATGAAGACATGAGTAACTGGAGAAGACCACAGAACTATCACAGTGTGTCTGGAACCTGAAGCGTCAACGTAGCGAGTACAGTATTGGTTGGTCAGTTGTCGCCCAGGCCCCGGCTTACAGCAACACAACTAAGCGATGTCCTTTGTGCCTCAGACAGAAACTCAACATCAACACCAACAAGAGATGCAAGCTGGCCGGCAAATGCAGGCATGAAAACAAGTACCATAAAATTCCGTAAATAAGCCCACCCTAAATAACGCCCATGTCCGATAATGAGCCCAGTTTTAGGCGGTGTACACTTCAAGTCCGTTTTAGCGCCCATGCCCGAAATAAGCCCAGGGCGTAAAGTGGACTCAAAATGACCAGCGCGCGAGTGTGCGTTCGCGTACCAACTGTAGAACAGTTGTAGATCGAGTGCGTGCCATCCAACTGCACGCAGCACAGTGCAGAACTCAACACTGTCACGGCGCGCGAGGACAGCGATGTTCCGTTGGAATGTAGCAAACTGCCAAAAAATGTAGCAAAACATGTCGCGCTTACCTGTACGTAGTGGCTCAGTGTGAATGGTGGTTCACTGAAACTAGTGGATTGCTGATAGATTGATCTTCTGCAGATTGCGTCCGAAATAACGCCCATGCCCTATAATAAGCCCATGTCCCAATATACGCCCGGTTTTTGACGCTCTGCAAGCTGTGAACCCTAAAATTTCGCCTAATTTTAAAAAATCCACACAAAAGCCCAGAAATGATGTTGCGCTTATTTCAGACAGGCGGTAATAGAAGACCGGCACTGACTTCCGAAAATATGGTATGCGCCTCAGTGTATGCGGGTGGCACCCATCTTTTAATGTCCCCCCACCCAGCTTGCACATGTGCACATTACCCTATTGGAACATAGTACACTGTACCGTTTGATGATCACTAAGGCGTGAAGCCTGGTGTAACAGCAACACTGCTTTGTTTCCCTTCTCTATACGTTTATAAGGCTCTGCACCATGTGCACTCTCGAGCTGCCGCAACTCTCTCTCTCTCTCTCACGAACGATGGAAATCATGCTGTCCTTTCAAACCTCAGGTGTGGGCAAGGATACCAAATGATTTCGTCCAAACCTCTTCAATACTCAATAGAGTTTGTTTGCACCATTGGTATTCTAATAGCGGTAGCCTCCTCTGACCCTCTCTGTGTTGTTCTGGATCTTTGCTTTCTTTCCCTGCCAGGACTAGGCGATTCTTCACTTTGATTTGCGTCTCTTTGCTGCTGCTCCTGGTATGGCAGAGCTACCCATTGCGAACAGCTGGCATTGGTGAGAGTTACTGATGGATGTCTTACTGGAGACTACACACGCGCACATGCATGCACACACACACACACACACACACACACACACACACACACACGCAGCATATCATTGTTCTATCATGTGCATGTAGTTGGCATGGGGAAAGAGGGGGCGAGTTTGCTTTCTTTGTTTACAGTATACACCCATGCGAAATTTTAAATACTGTAAAACCGGAAAATTTCGGTGGAGTTATATTTTCGGTAACTTCGGTACAGGTAATGGTACAGGTAATTTCCTAAAATAAAATGCGAAGAAGAGGTTGGTGCGACTTTGGCGATAGTAGGGGTGGGTCAAGTGAGAATTCAAGTCGGCAGGAAAACCGCGAGCTCCCATGTAGGGAGCAACACACTCTTCCCCTAAAATAAAATGCACCAAAAAATACATACATGCAGTATGGAAAACTGGTTTACCGAAAGTTTCGCGCTACCGAACCGTTGATTTTGAGAAATACTGAAAATATGACACCACCGAAAATTCCCCGTTTTACAGTATTCATGTTGGTGCAAATTTTACATTTTTATGTTGTTGCAAAGAAAGCAGAACAAAGTTCTTCTTGCGACTCAATTTTATGCTGTGCGGTCCTGTGTAAGGAAGCTCTGCCCATTGCGGTATTGAGCACTGTGTGCGCGGAGGAAGAATTCTACTGTGTATTTATGGTTTTAAATAGAGTCAGACAGGACGTATAGTTATGCAGCACCTATAATATGCCAGTAGCCAAGATATTGAGGGGTCAGAACGCAGACCAGTTTGCACATTCTCAGTATCTTGGCTGCATTGTTAGTGGCCAACTGCAGGTAAAGGGGTAATTATCGGTCCTCTCTGTCTTTATTATATATTCCTTGGCTGTTCATCTGAAAACATTTGATTTCGTTCTGAGAAGTGTCCTCTTGGTTGGATGTGTAATCTTGCGTGGATGTGTAATCTTGCGTGGATGTGTTATCTTGCGTGGATGCATGCATCCTTTTGTACCTGTATCGTACATGTACTATCAATATTAATTTTTTAGTGTGTAGCCTCTGGCCTGCTGTATAACTCTCCGTTTGAGTTCCTGTGTACTAGTATTTTATTTGTTACTCAGGAGGTACACAAAGGAAAGTTAGGTCATGTTTGTATTTGTATTTATATTTATGGATTTCATTGGCCGAGTTATCAAAAAATAAGACCTTACTTTCCTCTGTGTACCTCTTGTGTACTGCGCTCTGCTCATCATACGCATTGAGCGCTCTCGTAGCAGGTTAAGGCACTGCGCTGCCTCAGTGTATTTTTATTTGTTACTTGTCTTCACGTACGGCGCGTTATTTGTTTTTAATGACTTGTACTTGTTTGTCTTGTATCTGTGTGCTGACAGTGTCTAACTCTTGCCTGGATGTAGCACTGTATCAGTTCATAGCTGCCGAGCGGAGAGGGGAGACATCAATCACACGTGTATCGCACCTGGCAAGATCATCACCTGCGGCTGTGCTCGGTAGGAGCCCCTCCTCACACTACGACCGTTTTCTTCCCTATGCTCTGTTCATCTCCTGCTGTCTCAGACCTATTCTGTACACGAGTCACTGAAAACACTCAAATTAGTACAGTACTTTTGAATGGCGATTTGGGCACATGGCATCCGTGTTGTGTGTGTGTGTGTGTGTGTGTGTGTGTGTGTGTGTGTGTGTGTGTGTGTGTGTGTGTGTGTGTGTGTGTGTGTGTGTGTGTGTGTGTGTGTGTGTGTGTGTGTGTGTGTGTGTGTGTGTGTGTGTGTGTGTGTGTGTGTGTGTGTGTGTGTGTGTGTGTGTGTGTGTGTGTGTGTGTGTGTGTGTGTGTGTGTGTGTGTGTGTGTGTGTGTGTGTGTGTGTGTGCATGCATGCATATTTTCAATCTCCAGGTAATGGTCACATCGGCATAGACCTCGACGAGGAGAGCCTGCTGTTTGGTTACAACGGCCTGCAGTGGCTAGTGGCCAAGTACTCGCCACAGCTGTCGGTCACGGTGGACGATGTACTGCTCAGCCCAGGTGTGTTCACTTGTATATACTTCAAAGTATGAACATGTCAACAAACAATGGATCACTCGTAGTGTTTTGCTACTCTGAGTTTCATGCACTGCGTGCAATCATCAGGCAAAGAATATCCTTGTTTGTTGGCATGTGTCACATGTACTGTTCAGCCCAGTGTGTACATTTGTATACACTCATTGCCGAAGATGCGTTGCCATGGTGCAAAAATGGCGTTGGATGGCTACGCCTGAGCGCTCGCGCTGTCATCGCAGCCCACGACACGTCTTCCTGCTGTGCTTTCTTGACAAATTATTTTGTTTCGCTTTGTCCTTGTTGCTGGAGGGTTTGATTCTTTGAGATACTGTAGAGCGATTTGGAGTTGGTCAGCCGAGAGTAGTCGTGAGAAATGGAGAAAGAACGTGAGAGAACCTGAACTGCGGATAAAGTCGCTCTGTTCCAGCGGAGGCGAGCAGAGGGTTACGATCTCACTTCTCAGTGCCCAGGCACGTCGCTCCTGATTATTTCGAGTGGCTCGATGTGCAAGTGGCACTCGAAACCAGCGCTGTGCAGAGTACCGATGTTCCTGCCAGTGTCGCTGCTTTAGCCGGGCTGGCGCTGGCGACTCCAGTGCAAGCAGTAGCTAAACCATTCCTGAACCGGTTCCAGTCGAACAAACTGTCGCTGCAGCTAGTGTTGGTGTTGTTTCTTCGCCTTCAGTGTCCGTGGGGTCAGCCGCAGTGGAAACGGGCACTGACAGCCAACCTGCCAAGAAGCGGAAAAGAACTTCAGGCAAGGGCTACTACTGTGCTGTTCCGCTCTGCAGTAATCGGTCTTTAGATATGTCACTTGCAATTCATCGTTTTCCCAGTGATGCAGAAAGGTGCAAGTTATGGCAATTTGAAATTAGGAGGGACGTGGGATCAAATTTCAAGATCACATCAAACACCAGAGTATGCAGCTCTCATTTCAAACAAGATGATTACGTCGGCAAGCTCCTGTCTGGTGAGGAGCCAGAAAGAAAATGGCTCAACCCCACCGCTGTGCCAACCCAGTTCCAGTGGACGGCAACTCCTAAACCAGCGAGACGAGTTCTGAAGAGAAAACGTCAAGAGTCTGAGGAGCCACAAGATATTGATGATTCTGGGGTCGTTTCTGTCGTGTCTGGTGTCTGTTCGGCTATTGACCCAGCACCGACCCCTGGTCCTGTGCAGGGTTTGCCATGTGATCACAGATATATCAGTGTAAGTGACCCGAGTGAAGTCACGTGATGATCACATGGCTGGCCTAGAAAAAGACTTCAGTGAAATAAAAAAAGAGTATGAGAGCCTGAAGTGTTGTTCGATCGATTTAGCCAGCATCAGAAACAATCCGGACACGTTCAGGCACTTCACCGGGCTGCCTAACTACGCAGTGTTCTCTGCCCTGTTCAAATACCTCAAACCCAAAGCCAAGAGGATGCAAACTTGGCGCGGCCTATCTACCCTTAGACATTTGTATGCCACTGGTCCTTAGCGATGGCCATTAGACGTTTCACCGACACTGGCTGACCATCATCATCACAGAATATGAATTTGTTCCAATAAATACTGCGTGAACGTGAAAAAGATTGTTACATATATTCCACCGGAAATACAAGTTCTATCAACCAACCAAGTATTCCACTTAGCTCAATCTGTGCATTCAGAAATGATTTGTTCCAGTAATAATCTAACATCAGTCCGAAGTTTTTATTCAGAAATGTCCAGTGTCTGCTCTAGGATTGTAGGACAGCCGGGTACACGTGTACCTGGCGCAACCATTTCAACCGGGTCGGAGCCGGGTACACATGTACCTGGCGCTGTCTCACCAGCCGAGTCACGTGCTTTAACTGGTTGGTTGCGGGTTTATTTTAATTCGGACAATAAACGGGAGCTAGGCCCAATGATATAAAGGCGAATGGATAAGCCGCATTTAGAAATGAGAGGACAGGAATTAGAAAATTACGAAGGAAGAAGAAGTATCTCACACATACAAGCAAGAGTACATGAAAACCGTTTTCATGTACTCTTGATACAAGCCGTGTAGTCAGTCCTTTCAAAGTTCGAAAGTGTAAAGTACCAACCGGGTCACAGGTGACCCAGTACTATATTTTCAACCGGGTCCAAGCGCCGCCCAACCGGGTGGATTACCCGGCTCACCCGGCGCTAGCTGGAGCAGACACTGATGTCTTGTAAGCCAATGTTTTACTATGATGACAGACCATTTTGATCTCTGCCAATTTCTGGTTTGAAGACATAAAAATGATGATTATTGATCCAGAAAGTCGTTAAAAGATCAGTGCAATCGATGACGAGTTTTCGGTTTGTGAGGGGTTGAGAGGTGAGGTGGAATGAAATGTTGCTTTCGTTCACAGTGTAATGTTATTATGTTTGACAAGATGATATAATTCACAAAAGTCAACAGACATGACGAGGAAAGATCAGAAGAGAAGCCATGATCTAGAAAAACAGTCAGAAGCACGAGCATGCATGCATACAACATGTCTGTTACGAAAGGTCCAGACAAACTCTGCATGCCATGGCTGCAAAAATCATCCAGCGCAAACAGCAAAGCCGCGACATGTGAACAGCACTCTCATTATCCGGAAATGCACTGGCAGTATCCACCGTAGCACACTGGATCGACCCTGCTGATGCAGACGATACACGTGTAGGCTTGCTTTGATGTCTCTTGTGATGGCCAGCATTTCGCACGGACGAAACAAAAGTTTGTTCCACCTGCAAACAGGTTTCCCTCCAAATGGTGAAGGTGGTGCTCATCAAATAATTGGTACGCACGAAGTTGCTTGTAGCACTGCAAGCTCTCCTTGTCATAATCTTTGTCCGGGGAATTTAACATATAGTGCTTGACAGCCTCAGTAATGAAGAAAGGGATTTTAGTTAGGCGAGATAGAGACCAGCCAGATGTTTTGTGTGAAAAGCTTGGTAGCTTCTTGTACGCTGCCATTACTGGCTTTGGTAATGCAGGCTTGTCTGCCTCCTCGTCTGGAACCCCTTCGCCAGCAGTACTCAAGTGGAAATGTTCACAGATGAGAAGGTAAAGATCACGTCTGGATACACGCCCTTGGTAGGGAATACTGTCTTTGCAAAGTTGGCGCAGCCCTTGCATGCGTAAGCGCATGATATCCCCACAAGAGGTGGGAGCGCGCAGGATAGAGCTGGACAGAAGTGAATGTGTGGCCCCTTCAGTAGCAGCATCAGCTGCTGTTTGCACTGGCCCTGAGCGGCGGGTTACAGCAGGTCCAGGAGTGGTTTCAGCTACTAGGTATACTGCTTGCACTGGAGACGCCAGCGCCAGCCCGGCTGAAGCAGCGACACTGGCAGGAACATGGGCACTCTGCGCAGCACTGGTTTCGAGTGCCACTTGCACATCGAGCCCCTTGAAATAATCAGGAGCGACGTGCCTGGGCTCTGAGAAGTGAGATCGTAACCCTCTGCTCGCCTCCGCTGGAACAGAGCGACTTGATCCGCAGTCCAGGTTCTCTCACATTCTTTCTCCATTTCTCACGACTACTCTCGGCTGACCAACTCCAAATCGCTCTACAGTATCTCAAAGGATCAAACCCTCCAGCAACAAGGACAAAGCGAAACAAAAATAATTTGTCAGGAAAGCACAGCAGGAAGACGTGTCGTGGGCTGCGATGACAGCGCGAGCGCTCAGGCGTAGCCATCCAACGCCATTTTTGCACCATGGCAACACAACTTCGGCAATGAGTGTATGTACTGCAATACTGCACTACATACAACAACCTACCTGTCAGACTGAACTCTTCTGTAACACATGTCCGTGTAGTTCACGTTGTCTAGTCCCCGCTACAGTTGGTGCCCAGATACATATGATACGGCTCCAACCGTAGTAGCATCAGCCACTGCCCTCTGCATACAATCACAGTGGGTAGGCACCAGAGAGTTGTTATTTTACTATTTCAAAGTATCTACGTGTACCTTGCAGGACTGTCAGGACCTGATCTCTTTCACTTCAAACTCTTTCTGTGCTGCCTTTTTTGTTATGACACAAGGCTTTGAAGTGCGCAGAAAAAAATAGCACACTTCTTTACTCCGTACAGTTCCGAGTTGTATCTGCGCCTTGTTTTGCTTGTGATGTCGTTTGCACAGGCGCCCTGGTCTTTGAGTACAAAGAAGCCACGTTCCATTATCTCTACGCCCACTCACTGGTAAGTCAGTGTGGGAGATGGCGGCATAGCTTAGGTTGTTAGGATGCTTTGGTATCCCTCGGGCCCGGCAGAACCGGTCCGGTTGGTCAGGCCCTGGCCGGACCCACGTTTTGGCCGGCAACACGTGAGGTAGTCATGTGCACCCGCCTTATCATGCACAATGTGTGAAGGGCTGTGGGTATAGCCAGACCAATCCCAAACTGCTTCCACCGGTACTGTCCCTGCACGTCGAGCTACCCGAGGGAAGCTCTTCGAGGAGCTCATGCACCGAACAAGCTGTCTTGTTCAAGTACAAAGTGCACAATGCTTTTTGCATTCGGTAATATCATGGTTTTATTTGATCAGAGCAAGTGAGCGGAGCGCGCAATCTCTGTAAGGAGTGGTCTACGTCAGGAATTGGATTAGTCAGTCTTCATGTACACTGTGGGGCTGTGCTTGGTCAAACCCAGCCCGTATTTGGCACCCGGAGCGAGCATGGCATGCATGGTGCTTGTACATACTAATATACCGTAGACATCATAGAACAGGTCACATGACCTTTTTGTAGCACGATGAAAGAGCTCTATGCAGTAGTGTCAGCCCAAATTTGCTCGAGACTTTTCGATATTATGCCGCATAATTTTGCTGTGCTTCTTTCGATATTATGCTTGGCATTTCCGGGCGGAGACGATATTTTGCTCTGATTATGCTCAATGACAGCTTCAAAAATGCCAAATTTGGACCAAATTTTGGAGAAAATTTCAGAAAAACATCGAAATTTGCTCGGTTTTGCTGGGTTCACATTTTAAAGTGTGAAGATTGACCTCACAATGCTCATTACCAAGCTGCCGTGCAAAGGAATTTAGTTTTGAGCATGGACCTAGTACATGTACCTCTGGCGCTGGACGTGAAACTTCGAGTATCTGTGAAATCACGGTGAAAATCTCCAAAAAATTCGAAATTATGCTCCAAATATGCCGGGCAATTCTTTTTCTAAAATGTTTCGATATTATGCCAAAAGAATTGCCGGCAAATTTGGGCTGACACTACTATGCAGTGATGTAATGGGAACTGGTCTGGGGGGGGGGGGGGGGGGGTGTTAGTTTTGCACTTTGGGTTGGATTTCACCTAGCACAACTGCCCTTCCAGGACGTAATAACTACAGTGAACCTTGCGAATAACCACCCGGGCCTTGGTCGTGCATGAGAAAGTGTCGTTATTCATGAGTTGTCATTATTCAGGAGTTGTCATTATTCACGAGTTGTCGTTATTCATGAGGTTGAAAGTGTGCAATCAAGTGGTCACTAGATCTGAAGATTGTGTTGTTATTCGCGAGTTGTTGTTATACCCCCGAGGTTGTTATTCACTGTGTTGCCACACCTGCCGACATGTCAGTAGCCTGCCGATTTTTGAGGCATGTCACGACCTGCCGACAATTGACCTTCTCCTGCCGACAACAGCCATGAAAGTGTCCAAGTTTGACCTTATGCGTGGTTTAGAAGTCATGATCCAGATTTTTGGCTTTTACTGCTCATTATGCGTGTTTCCATAGCTCTCTCCTAAGGCGCTAAGCGAAATCATCATCTGTCTCGAGAAAAATCGGCAAACTCAGCCTGAGTCTCACGCAAGACGTGACATTTTTTCTTCTTATCAGTGCCGCGCGTGTGCATGTATCGAGGTCGCTATTATAGGGGAGTGGGGGGGGGGGGGGGATGATGCATTTTGTTTTTTATCCTACTGATATTTGGCTATAATGATGTGGCAACACTGTATTCATGAGGTTCACTGTACACTGTACACCCATGTGGGTGCTGGTGTAAGTGGCTAAATCATTTGCGCCGTGGGTATGTAATGCATTGTAGTGTGAGTTGACTATCCAAGCCAGCATTGCATTGCACCGGGTAGTTCACAGCTAGCTAGTATGAGCTGGCAAAGAGCATCAAAGCTGACTCTGGCTTTCACGTGTAAGCTACTCTGCACTCTCACCGACATGGAAGGACAAATCTAACTGCCCGGTTGTGTTTTTTTGTTTTTTTTCCCGTGTGCTGTGATTGTTGCTGTTGCAGAGTCCGGGCTGTGTTCGTGTTCGTCACTCGATTCATGCACATCGCAACTTCACCTCACTGCTGGTGCAGGATGTCACCGTCACGAACAGTGCTGTACGTTTTCCCCGGGCTGTTGGCTGTTGATGGGAGCGTTTCTTGCTCTTCGGTCTTGTGGCCAGGGTCAAACCTGTGCTTGGCGGTGGCCTCGCGATATACTGAAAACTGGCCTTTATGCTGACTTTATACTTGCCTATGATGATTGCGCGGTTGTGCATGAAACGCTCTGAGTTACAAGCACAAACGCTTTCTGTCCACTGTATGACTGTTCTACGCTCTGCCTCCACGGCATTTTGGGCACTCTTTGCACACCGGACCGGGTGCATCCCTCGTACTTGCCGGTACATGTTTTCACCGCGGGTTCAAATATAGAAGTACGTGTATGTTTGGGTATGGGTTTGCTACCTGCTATGATTGCCAGTTTTTACAATGTATTCAGAACAAGCCAGTCAGTGTATTGTTATGTATTTAGAACAAGCCAGTCGGTGTATTGTTATGTATTTAGAACAAGCCAGTCGGTGTATTGTTATGTATTTAGAACAAGCCAGTCAGTGTATTGTTATGTATTTAGAACAAGCCAGTCGGTGTATTGTTATGTATTTAGAACAAGCCAGTCGGTGTATTGTTATGTATTTAGAACAAGCCAGTCGGTGTATTGTTATGTATTTAGAACAAGCCAGTCGGTGTATTGTTATGTATTTAGAACAAGCCAGTCGGTGTATTGTTATGTATTTAGAACAAGCCAGTCGGTGTATTGTTATGTATTTAGAACAAGCCAGTCGGTGTATTGTTATGTATTTAGAACAAGCCAGTCAGTGTATTGTTATGTATTTAGAACAAGCCAGTCGGTGTATTGTTATGTATTTAGAACAAGCCAGTCAGTGTATTGTTATGTATTTAGAACAGCCAGTCAGTGTATTGTTATGTATTTAGAACAAGCCAGTCGGTGTATTGTTATGTATTTAGAACAAGCCAGTCAGTGTATTGTTATGTATTTAGAACAAGCCAGTCAGTGTATTGTTATGTATTTAGAACAAGCCAGTCGGTGTATTGTTATGTATTTAGAACAAGCCAGTCGGTGTATTGTTATGTATTTAGAACAAGCCAGTCAGTGTATTGTTATGTATTTAGAACAAGCCAGTCAGTGTATTGTTATGTATTTAGAACAAGCCAGTCAGTGTATTGTTATGTATTTAGAACAAGCCAGTCGGTGTATTGTTATGTATTTAGAACAAGCCAGTCAGTGTATTGTTATGTATTTAGAACAAGCCAGTCGGTGTATTGTTATGTATTTAGAACAAGCCAGTCGGTGTATTGTTATGTATTTAGAACAAGCCAGTCAGTGTATTGTTATGTATTTAGAACAAGCCAGTCGGTGTATTGTTATGTATTTAGAACAAGCCAGTCAGTGTATTGTTATGTATTTAGAACAAGCCAGTCAGTGTATTGTTATGTATTTAGAACAAGCCAGTCAGTGTATTGTTATGTATTTAGAACAAGCCAGTCAGTGTATTGTTATGTATTTAGAACAAGCCAGTCGGTGTATTGTTATGTATTTAGAACAAGCCAGTCAGTGTATTGTTATGTATTTAGAACAAGCCAGTCAGTGTATTGTTATGTATTTAGAACAAGCCAGTCAGTGTATTGTTATGGTGTTTGCTGACTATACAGGCTTTTGCTGTGGTGGTTACTGACTGCTCCGGTGGAAAGAAATCACTTCTTCCGCAGTTGCATGTGTACGAGCGAAGCATTTTTGGTGTTGGTCCAATATGAATCTGGACATTTGAGCAAGCTTTGAGAATTTATGATGACTTCTAATCTGCGTAATTCTTTACTCCAATTGCACCATCAGCAGTGCTGGCAGTAGTTGAGCACTCGGGGCTTCCAGTGCTGCCAACGTGTTGTGTTGTTCTGTGGGGCTGAACTGTTGTCTTGTGCTGTGCTTTGTGACTGCACAGTCGCGCTCCGTTGTGCTGGAGCTCAAGCAGACGAGTATGAGCTCATGGTCGGGCGCGTCCACGTCCAGACAAGAGTAAGTGAAGGTGACATGTATTCTGTCTTGTCCGCATGTACATGTACTTGGAAGTACAGTCCTGTCGGATGCCGAAGAACGGACAGGCTAGCATTTCACCAAACACAGCATAGCGATATATGCAAGGTGACTCTACTGCGCATAGACTGCTATATGCCAATGAGAACTGTCCAGGCTACGAGGCTGATCCCAGTTCTTCTGCACCCACACTACTATAGTCCTTTCCATGCCTTTCGACCGGTGAAAGTAGAATGATACAAAACATATGCCGTTGACACAAAAGTGTGCTGCTCAATTCTCGGACATCTTATATTCTTTAATGACCTTAATGACTGTTCTACCTCAAGCGAAGGATCTGAATGACGAGTCCTTTCAGCAGGAGCTTGTCCGAATCGCCGGCTTGCCACATCTTTATCAGCCGGATAGCACATTCAAGATGTGTATATGGATGCTGCAGTTATGGCGGGGATTCTGTAGCATTAGGGCAGATGTGATCATGCACGCTCTTACTGTTAGTGCTACAGCTTCCAGGGCAGACATTGCCATAAAGGCATGGGACGATACACTTTGAAGTACATTGTACTTCAAAGCACAGTAAAACCTGTCAAGGCGACCACTCTGATAGGGCCACCAGCTGTCCTGTAGAACCACTGCAACTGGAATCAAGAGGTGCTATGTCCAGTGAAATGACCCGGGATAAGAAGACCACCTGTACACAGCGACCACATGTGTAAGGTCCCGTGAGCGGTCGGCCTATGAAGGTTCCACTGTGAACACATTCCAGCCCTTTGCCCCCACCATGTGTTCTCTGCTGCACCTCCTGTTGGTTCTGCCTCATGATGTGTTCTCTGCTGCACCTCCTGTTGGTACTGCCTCATGATGTGTTCTCTGCTGCACCTCCTGTTGGTACTGCCTCATGATGTATTCTCTGCTGTACCTCCTGTTGATTCTGCCTCATGATGTGTTCTCTGCTGTACCTCCTGCTGGTTCTACCCCATGATGTTTTCTATGCTATGCCTTCTGTTGGTTCTACAGGCTGAAAGCCGGTCTTAAAACGGCCACGTCCGGTCAGTATATTCTCAGCCAGGGTACGATCCCAGCCACGCTGAAAGCACCGTCCGTTAGTGCAGCAGTGGCATCTGTGGCTGCACCAGTTGATCCCATTGAAGTCGAAGCCAAACGGTTAGAATTTCTGCATTTACTTGCACTCCATGATGCGCTTGGTGATTCCGGTCGCAATGGTTGTGATTAGAGTCGGTGGAATCATGCTATACAGATACTGTGTTTTCCCAATTGTCATTCTCGATTATAAGTTGCAGCCCCTCGTACCAGATTTCAGCTGGTGCTGCTGACCTCTATATTTTGTTCATGGTCATTCTCAATAGGTATATGTGTTAGTTGGCTGTGTAAGAGGTTATAGGGCTTGTCCAGCGTTCTCTGTGACTATGACAAGCATTCTGCATACGTTGCTCCGTCGTTGTCTTTTGTTGTTGTTATTTTGTAGTGATGTGTTGCTTTCCCCAGTACTGCCCAATGAAACGCACACATGTGTGTGCGTGTGTGTGTGCGCGCGCGCGTGTGCGTGTGTGTGTGCGTGTGTATGTGTATACGTGTATATGTGTATGCTTCTTGTCACCAGGGACGTTAGCGCTCAGTTCCTGACTGTTGTTCGTTTTCAAGTGGGTGCAAACCTGTCGGCTGCGGCCAACAGCCCTACGACGAATGGACCAGCAGTGCCGCTGCCCAACCTCAGCACTGCAGCTCTAGCTGTAAGACGATGTTATCGCTGTGCTCATTGCTCGCCCTGTGTCACATGGCTGTGTGCGGCACACCCCGTTATCCCTACGCTGTGTACTATAGTGCGTTTCAAAAGTCCAGACCTCTGGTTTCGAAAACACCGCTAGGCCAGCATCTATACCACGTAAAATCTGTACAGGATCACTTTGTGCATAATATTTTCGAAATTGGGCGTCTGTTATCCGATAGCTTAGAAATGTATATGAAAAAAATTGCGGGAGCTGCCTGAGCAATATTCCGAAGAAATTTCTCAAAAACTCGAACCAAATTTGAGTTATTTGAAAATGTCTGGAGGTCCATACTTCTGAAACGCAGCGTACTAGTATGCTGCGTTGCCTCACTACTGTGGGGTGTAGGCTTTGGCGCTGATGCTAGATTGGAGCTCACCTCATTGTACGTATTATGCAGATGGATGGGAATGAACCGTTGCAGAATTTTGGGGATGGTATTGTTGTGGGAACTTTGCAGCAGCAATGATCTCTCCACCGTGACACGCTTTGAAAGGAACTTGCTGCCGCTTCTGGGTCTCCAGGTAGCTCAGTGTAGCGGTATGATCAATCTAAATGGATGCGGTGGTCTATGGTCGTTGCCACTGTTGATGCATGCACTGTTCTGAGCTCCCCTTGATCCTATTGTTTCTTACTGGCTGGTGCATTGCATATTGCTGTGCGTGTACTGACTGAGTGTTTGACTATACGCACAGGAATTAAAGCAGCATGTCTTGACTGAATGTGTGGGATTATGTGCACAGGAATTAAAGCAGCATGTCTTGACTGAATGTGTGGGATTATGTGCACAGGAATTAAAGCAGCATGTCTTGCCTGAATGTGTGGGATTTTGTGCACAGGAATTAAAGCAGCATGTCTTGACTGAATGTGTGGGATTATGTGCACAGGAATTAGAGCAGCATCTCGCTGTGAAGGATGCCAAGGCACTGGCCGACAGGCGCCTGGCCCACCAATCACAATGGGAGCAGGTGAGCACTATAATTACACTGCATATGAAGGGCTCCAATTCAAAACGAGAAATCCATTTTTCATTTGTACTTTTTCGGTCGGCACTGCAACATCAGGGACTTTTATCGCGTTTTGCAGAAGAACACAAACTGCAGGCATCGTTTTGACTGGGATGTATCGCGTTTTGACCCGTAAAACCGACACACAGACGTCCGTGGGGTGAAAATGAATTCTTTCGTGACAAAAAAAAACAGCAAAAGCTCCGGTTTGGTCTTTATCACGTTTTGAATTGGAGCCCTTCATATACTGTCTATACTGTATAGGGAAATGGGCCTTGCTTGTGCCTGTCTCGCTGTACAGCTGGTCATCTGCTTGTGCCTGTCTCGCTGTACAGCTGGTCATCTGCTTGTGCCTGTCTCGCTGTACAGCTGGTCGTCTGTTTGTGCTCTGAAGCAGATCAGCCCAGGAGTGTGTGTGTGCAGTTTGCTATTGTTAGTAGCAAGGAGAGATTCGTCTGATTTCACCATGCAGCATGTACACACAATATGACCTTTTAAGAAACGAAAGTAATCGCAGAGCGTGGACACTGCGTCCTAACAAGGACGTGAGGCGCACATTGAACTGTACCAGACCCATAGTGCGGGAGAGCGTTGATGTGCGGCATATGCTGGGTTTGTTTAGCTCTTGATGATAATGTGCAGGGGTTGAGATAGGCTGCGTGTCCTGGGACTATGCCGGTACATGTAGTACTGTAATCTGTTCCTCTCGCGTCCTCTCCTTTCCCCCTTTCAGCTCTGGGATACGATGCCGCGTGTGTTGTCCAAGAGTCACCCCAGCACGCCGGGAAACGGTGAGATCTATGCCAGCCTGTTTTACCTCATGGCCACCACTCCGTCACTACCGGGACAATACGGCGTCGACCTCATCACTAACACCGACAAGGAATGCTTCAGCGGGCCGCCGACCATGTAAGCACGATGCCGCCGTTTTCATCCCTGCTTGCATTTAGGCATAGGGTACAGTATGCTACTGAAGTGTACGTGAGATCTACTGGGTACGGTGGCCTCTTTATAACCCGGCACCATTTATTCTCCTGAAATTCTGCTGGATTAGGGAGGGTGCTGGATTAAATTAACAAATCTGATTTACTGCTGCAATGTGCATGAAGAGGATATTTTGGCCACTGAAAATTGTGCTGGTTTATAGAGGGTGCTGGTTTGTAAAGTGCTGGATTAAAGAGGGACGACTGTACTACTGAAGTGTACGTGAGGAGATCTACTGATAGGCGTTCAATGTCTGCAACAGTAGTATACTGTATGAACATCACTGCATGTGATGTACATGGATGGTGAGAAATGAGGAAAAAAAGCAAATATTGTCTTGTTCATGCCATGCATGCATATACAGTGTACTTTCACACTAGTGAAGTGTTCATATCGCTTGTTTGCTTGCTCTCCTACCGTGTGTCTTCAATGTGTAGGCACACAACGCTGCTGTGGCTCATTCCACACCGCTTGTCTGCGATACATACGCTCGTCAGCAATTGGCACCGCTACTTAGCACACGGGTCGTGTGACTCACACCTCAACCGGGGTATGTACATGTGTGTGCGTGTGTGTGTGCGTGTGTGTGTGTGTGTCACATGTGTGTGTGTGTGCGTGTGTCGCATGTGTGTGTACGTGTGTGTGTTGGGGGGGGGGGGGGGGGGGGAGGGGGTGCATGCATTTGTGTGAGAGGGGTGTGTGTATGTGTCTGTGTGAGAGAGTGTGTGAGTGTGTGTGTGTGTTTTGTGAGTGAGCTTGTGCATACACACATTACAGTATAGTGTGCGTGTGTGTGTGTGTGAGCGCACGCGCGCCCGTGCACATGCTCGTTTAGCCTTGGCTAATCACACAGTGTTGCGAGTTGTGAATTGTTTCATCGAGTTCAGTACTGCGGGAAGCCTCACCGCTATTACTCAGAATTCAGTACTGTTGCTGGTGAGACGGTGTGCTGCTACTTGGACCTTGGTTTACACTAACCTTCCGATGGCTTTCTGTTATGTCCCTGACTCCCAACTGCTAATGATCTAGGTGCACAGCTACTGGGTCAAGTCGTAACACTCAGCTTCCTGGGCATACGGCACGTGCCGTCCTACAAGTATCTGGATCTGGCTCTGAATCCAGCGTTAGTTCAAGCCGACGCCTTAGTACACAATCTTTACTTTGCCGGTTACAGTATATCGCTCAACATTCAAATGGAGCATGGCGTCGCCAGAATGGTATGTACATGAGCAGCAACACGTGTGGACTATTTAACACACACATGCAATGTATGTTCTGCTCTGTAGTTGCGTTGAGTTCAGATGTGAATGTGTCGGCTTCATGCATGCACTGAAACAAGACCGTGTTCTAGCAATCTCTTTTCACTTTGTCTTGGTCTCTTTCTCTTACCAGCGCATGCACACATGTGTGCACCCGCGCACGCACACCACACACACACACACACACACACCACACACACCACACACACACACGCACGCGCGCACACACACACACACTATCTCTCTCTCTCTCTCTCTCTCTCTCTCTCTCTCTCTCTTGTCAACCCACTCATGTTGTTGCACTGCCACTTTCCTGATTGTCTGCATGCAGATGAGAGTACGCGCCAAGCCTCTGGTAGCTGGTACCCAACCTCCACCTCCGTTGTATACCTGTCCAGCTAGCTGCACTGGACCACTCAAGACAGTCGGGTGAGTACCGGGGTATTCGTAATTACCCGACAATACAACCGTGTTGGCGGTATCCCAAGATGGGATCAGCCACGTGCATGCAGGCTGAAGAAAGGTGAACATCCTGGCATGGAAATGACAACGGAGTTGAACTATTCGACCTATGTAGAACCTTGGACAGTGGCGTTGTTCACCGCGGACAGCTTTCTGAGCTTTCTGATACACTGAATGAGTTCAGTCAGATAATATAATATAGGAGGGTGACTGGACCCTTTTTCTTCCTAGTGTCTGCTCGATATGTGTGGCAGTGGATGCTGCAGGGTCGCACGAGTAGTGAGTCTGGGCGAAGGCCTGATATCTTGAACAAAGACTTAAGGGGACTCTGGTATAAACGATAAATCTGAGATTATTGTACTCATGTTTCTGTTCTTGCACTTCCTTCAACCAGGACTGGACTTCTCATGGTGACAGTTTGATATGTAGTGTGATCAATTTTATTACCGGTATCTTATTATTATTGAGTATACGGATAACCACCCCAAGGCATTGTGCCCAAATTGAGGGGTGGCTCCGGACCATACACAGAGCAAAGAGCTCATTTGCTTCTCACGTTCTTCCCCGTTGTTGAACATGCAGGGCCGAGGACGTTCTGGTCCCTGTCATTGCCACCAAGCCCGTCACACCGTTGCTGTACATCTCGACGCACGCCGATGAGCTCCAGCGTCTGAACAACCGCAGCAAGGAACTGCAGACCTACCATCTACCAGGTGAGGGCAGCTGGCATTTCCACGCCTTTAATTTATGTACTTGCTATACCCAATGCTGCAGACAGCAAGCTGTTTCGGTCATAAAGGCCTCATATACTAGTATATTAATTTTTTTTAAATAAAAAGCCTTTGGGAATCCTTTTTATAAAAAGGATTCCCCAAAGGCTAAAGGCTTATCTAGACTAGGGGTGCGTTTGGTTGGTACGATCTAGAACAGGATCGAACAGCTGGTGCACATGGAGCAGCCTCATGCCAACCAAACGGTACTCCAGAAACAGAGCATATTTTTGTGAAAAATATGCCAAACTTGGTGCATTCTTCAAAATGTGTATGGGTCACCATGGTCGCTGTGTACGGTACGACAAGTCCAACCCAAAAGCATATACGCGTGATCATTTGGGACCAAAATCGATGTTCCCGCCAGGTTTCACTGTGAAAAAGTGAAACTGCTCGGTCTGCTCCGGCCTCGAGGCCGGAGCAAGCAGAACATGTTCTGGCCGACCCAGAACAGGTGCAGTCCCAACCAAACGCGCTGTTCTGGTGAATCCTGTTCTAGTTCGTACCAACCAAACGCGCCCTAGGGGGTCCCCAGCTTTATTATGCTGGTTGAAAAATATGTTCTCCTCGGATGATGCACATAGAGTATGTACGGGCGGATCAACGGTACTTTCGGTACATGACTTGTTTGTTTTGTTGTATTGTTAATGTGTTTATGTTTGTGTGTGTTGACAGGGGAGTCCCCTCATCACGAGTGGGGCGTGCATACTGTGTCGCCGCGCGCCTGGATGCTCTTCGGTCTGCTGCTGGGCGGCTTCCACCTGTTCCTGCTGCAGATCATCTGCAAGGAGTACTGCCCGGAGACGCTCAACAACTGTGCACGCTTCCTGCCCAGGCGCATGGCCGATGTCACTGGCAGCGGCAGAGTCGACTAGAGCAGAAGCTGCTGTTGGCGTTGCTTTAGTCACGTCAGCCATCTCCTCTTGCACCACACGATGATGTGAGCAGTGGTGTTTTAGTATCCGTCTTGAGAGACCAAAACAATTTACTAGGCCTACAATTATACTCATTCCAATTTTAGCGCAGTAACACACGCACACCCCCAAACATTCTCTTTTGGGTCACCACGAAACACTGCATGAAGAAAAAGCACATCCAGTAGCACTTGTCAGTCCATGACATCTGCCATAGGCATTACGTGCTCATAGAAATCTCATCCTTCTGATTTTTACAGCCCCCCCCCCCCCTTCTTTTCTGCAGACCTTTCTCCGTCTGTCCGTCTTTTGTTTTTAACCCATAGTCTATGCTGCACATTGTAGTACCCTTGTCGTGGAGAGAGAACTTTAAAACATTGAAGATTTTAGAATTTATTACAACCATTATTGTCCGTTCGTATTTGTTTGTACAAATCCATGTGCAGAAAGCAGGGAGTAGTAACTACTCACCGGTAGAAAGTGTTTGCTATGGAGGTGTATGTTGACCATGAACATAATTATGGTCTTTTTGCATGGAAAGTGCCGCTATGAGAATGATCATCTAATTGCAATGGGGGTCAGCGGGGACGAAAGCTACTGGCACCCAGGCACTAGGCTACTGGGCAATAGCATGGAAAGTGCCGCTATGACAATGATCATCTGATTGCAATGGGTTGAGGGGTTGAGGGGATGAAACCTACAGCTATCCAGGCTGCCGGGTCATAGCATGGCAATGGGGGTCAGCGGGAAGAAGCTACTGGTACCCAGGCGCTAGGCTACTGGGCCATAGCATGCTACTTGGTCTAACATTTTCAGATACACTTGTGGGCAAGTTTCACGGCAAATCAAGCCGACCAGGAGCCGCTACACAAGCCAGCTGTTGCACTAGAAATAAGTAGCCGGTCAGCTGGGACTCTCGCGTCGACAATGCTGGTCACCATGGATCGTGATACCCATAGCAGAACACACGGCCGGTTGTCGGATCACTGTCCCGCGCATGGCCAATGGTCCACCGTTGCATCACACACGGCCGGAGTTGTCCGACACTGGCGTGAACACACGTGACTGATCCCCACACATAGCACCTAGCCTGCAGCATCCTAATCTGCTGTTGCGCAATGCAGGCGCAGGACCTGAGCAGCAAGCACAAGCTGAGACAGCCACTAATTGGCATGGCCGTCCAATGTGAGGATATCAAGGTACCATAGCAACGCATGCTGATGGTTTGGTCGAGTACTTTTATGATAGGGTGGAGCTACTAGTAGACCTAGCATGCGACGCGGTGACAGTTCCACCACCTTTCCTGCACTAATCCAGTTCCACTAGGTCAACGTCCAACACATTACGGAGACAACAATTGTAACCCGACCAGCAGGGTATCCGGAGTGAGGTCAGGCCGTGTTGTGGGTCCTCTGTCTGGCACAATCAGCTGCCTATGGATACAGCCAGTCTCCCATCTGAAGACTGGGAAGAGTGGTCACGGCGGTAATGGATGGGCGATGTCGTCCGACATTGCGACCGTGTCTGTGTTTGAGGCAGCCTCAGCAGGTTGGAGCTGCATTCCACAATCGTCTTGTGTTCCTTCTTCAGTTGACAATGCAATGTTGCTCTGTGTGCTCTCACTAGTAACATCCATCATGACAGCCTTGCCAGCGCCAATCACAGCGTCGGTTGGTTCATCCTCCATCAAAACAGCCTTGGCAGCGCCAGTTGTTTCCTCATCCATCATAGTAACATTGGCAGCGCCAGCCACATCGGCGGTTGGTTCCTCAGCAGCAGCAGCAGCAGCAGCAGAAACATCAGTGGACACCGTTTCGGCATTCTTATCTGCCGCGTTGCGATGTTCACCGGCCGTTGGCAGAAGTCCGTCCACCTGAGCCTCCTTGGCAGGTCCACTGGTGGTTGGTAGCAGTCCGTCCGCCTCTGTTGAACACAATCAGAAATGCAACACCAACATCAAAGTGCTCTGTGAATAGGGTGTCCTGCTAAACGTTACAAAAACAGTTGTAACAACAACACACAGAAGTACAGTTGAAATCTAGTCACGAGACAGCCTGGGTACAGTCACGGGCTTTAAGCCAACGCTCATAGGCCGGTCCTGTGGGCGGCCGCTGAAATTAACCTAGAATTGGCATGGCACAAAGCATGGACGTACCGAGGTCTCCTTTGGCTTGCAGGAAGATACGCTTCATATGCAGCACCTTGTCCGTGTGGCAGGCGTATCGATATGCCGTCCTATCTGCAGCGGCTGAAGCAACCGCGTTGGCTGCAGCCGGAGTCAGTAGAGGTGGCACACTGCTAGCCAGACCTGAGATAGGGGAGAATCGTATTCATAGGGATGGAAGAATAGATGCACAGACAGAATTACGCAAGTGCACACTTGTAGAAGACGGCGGCGGCGTTTGTGTGTGTGGTGTGTGTGTGTGTGTGCATGCGCACGCACGCGCGTGTGTGTGTGTGGTGTGAGTGTTGCTGCCATTTCTACATGCCTTAGTTTTGCGCTCGTTCCAGACTGCCCTTTGGCATTACAAAGTCATTACAAGCGTCAACAGTAACGATCTGTGATGGTATTATGCCACAATGTATCAAATTGTGCAGAAGAAAGCCTGAGGATGTGGATGCCAGCATTGTGTGTATTTCAAAGCACTGTCCAGATGCAGCATGCCACGACGCTGTGCCCGTGGGTGTTGTCTAAGCTCCATGGATATTAGTTGCCAAGCAAACATGGTGTGCACAACTTCTTTCAAGTACTCGAAGTACTCTTTTTCGGTAGGTCAGCCAAGCAGAGTATGTGCATGTGCATGTACGTCCACCTACTCAGCCTGTGCCATAGTGGTTCATACCACCTACTCAGCCTGTGCCATAGTGGTTCATACCACCTACTCAGCCTGTGCCACAGTGGTTCATACCACCTACTCAGCCTGTGCCACAGTGGTTCATACCACCTACTCAGCCTGTGCCACAGTGGTTCATACCTCCTACCTAGTGCGGACGAGCTGTCCTGACTCTGGCCATCAAAGAACATGAGACTGCCGACAGAATCTGAAGAAAGCCAACATTGGCAATACACACACACACACACACACACACACACACACACACACACACACACGCACACACGATACAGCACGTGCATGCACAAAGACACAGGATGCCGCGAGTAAGCGTTATCCTTTCCAACTCTCCTTCTCTGGCCTTGTCTGATGTGTGTGTGTGTGTGTGTGTGTGTGTGTGTGTGTGTGTGTGTGTGTGCGTGTGATGCGTGTGCGATGTGTTTGTGCGTGTGTGTGTGTGTGTGTGATGTGTGTGTGTGTTTGTGTGTGATGTGTGTGTGTGTGTGTGTGTGTGTGATGTGCGTGTGTGTGATGTGTGCGTGCGTGTGTGTGTGTATGTGTGTGTGTGCGTGTGTGATGTGTGTGTGTGTGTTTACATAGATTGAACAGTGTGCAAGTCTTGATCTGTTTCATTCAGATCTTGCTACTATAACTGCTACTTGAAAGAGAAAGTGTGTGCATCCAGTACACCTTCAGATTCACATGTTTCTCTCGCAACGAGGATACATGGTATATCTGGTACATGGTGTGTGTCTCTCTCTCTCTCTCTCTCTCTCTCTCTCTCTCTCTCTCTCTCTCTCTCTCTCTCTCTCTCTCTCTCTCTCTCTCTCTCTCTCTCTCTCTCTCTCTCTCTCTCTCTCTCTCTCTCTCTCTCTCTCTCTCTCTCTCTCTCTCTCTCTCTCTCTCTCTCTCACCTTCAAAGGAGCCACGGAATGTAACTTCACCAATCTGGAGGAGAGGTTCATCAGTATCCAACCCCTGCAAGAGGAAGACCGGTGCAGTCATTAGATTTTCTTGTCTAATAACAACACTCCAACCAACAACGATACAATGCATACACACAGCCTTAATAAACGCTCACGTACGCGCGCCTATGAACACTCACGCACGCACAACCACACAAGCTCTCTCTCTCTCTCTCTCTCTCTCTCTCTCACACACACACACACACACACACACGCACGCACGAACGCATGCACGCACGCACACTAACACACATGCACGGCTCGCAAAACAGAGTGCTACTAACCAGCAATCCCACGTGATTCGGAGCGTTGCTCCAGAACGATTCACCAGTCTCAACTAAGCCGCTGAACTCGGCATACACGAGCACCTCCTACAGAAACACAGCAAGCAGCCAATAGCATTGAAGAGCAGCATGGGTTTAGGCTAGAGACATGTACAGCACTGCTCAATGAAATCAGACTACGCGAGTCGAGTCAGCATCCTGCACCCGTGCACAGCCCAGCGTTCGCAGATCCGGGGCTGCACAGCGCCCAGCGCAGACTTGCTTCACGCAATCGGATTTCATTCAGCAGCACTGTATATGCACGTGTGCATGTGACGATGCCTGGCAGCCGCACAGTGCACGTGTGCTACAGCGACGCAGGCCACACAGACACAATACAGGTCAGACCTCACTATAACGACCCTCGGCATAACATAACCCTCACTATAACGACCCTCGGTATAACATAACCCTCACTATAACGACCCTCGGTATAACATAACCCTCACTATAACGACCCTCGGTATAACATAACCCTCAATATAACGTACGAAATGCAAATGTCCCTGCCGAAACTGCATCATCTCCATGAAAAATTTCCTCGCTACATGTCATCATCATCATCTGCGTTGCCGAAAAAATAATAATAGTAAAATAAAAAAATAATGCGTATGTAGTATAACACTGTAGTATAACATAATCTGCCATAGCATAATTTGCACTACAACACACTGTTCGCTTGGTCCTGCATGTACGGATACCTCAGTACAACAATAGCGGGATTCCCCAGATTGCCTAGAGTGCTCAACATCACCAGGATGTATCAATACCACAAAAAAAGGCAGAATTTCAGTACATCATCTGGCTACAAACTTATATCCAGGCAGGTAGTAAAGTGTGACATTGACATTAGTGAGACATGGCGTGCATGGTGTCAATTTACATGAGAATTGAGAGGTGAAACGACTTGACTGTCACATTTCTCTCCCTTCAAAGGACAATCTTACAATTGTAGTGAAAAATCTAAAATACTCAATGGTGAAAGAACCCAGTCTAACCTCGTAGTCATCGCTTTCCTCTGCCATAGTCCTGCACTGTGCAGCAATAGCAAAGG